ACTTGTGACTGAACTTGTGACTGGCCTTGTGAAAGGACTTGTGACTGGCCTTGTGAAAGGACTTGTGACTGGACTTGTGACTGGACTTGTGACTGGCCTTGTGAAAGGACTTGTGACTGGCCTTGTGACTGGCCTTGTGAAAGTACTTGTGACTGGACTTGTGACGGACTCCAATACAACGCTGTTTCACAACCGGTTTCAGAATCCTTCCCTCTTTGTGTAACTGACACGTCTTTGTACCACAACCCCAGATGATGAAACCTTTCAGGATGTGTTCCGAGATTTCACCAACCTGGCTTCCAACAACCCCGAAGCGCTCAATCGCAACTTCCAAGAGCCGGACAAGCCCACGACACCCGACACCTGAGAGGACTGGGGGCAACTCTAACAGTAGCTCGTAGTTCACTGACCCCTTCACTGCAAGTGCAATAATATATCCCATCCACTGGGTCATCTCTATCAGCAGCTATTATCCAGGATATTTATAACCTTCTCTTGTAGGTCCAACTGAGAGAACTGCACTTGATGCAGTGAAGGGATTAGATTAAAACCATTTCTAAAGTTACAGCCCCGCTTAAAGTTGCAGCAGCGCACTTGCATCTCAGAGTTTGGACCCTAAGCTATAATCTCAGAGATGAATACAACTTACGACAGCGAGCTAGTGTCACATGAAGGCTCACTTAAATTTCTTCAGAACAGCACCGCATTGAAGGCCGGTTTATACTACTACAGGCCAATGTAAATGTGAAGCGAATTTGACGTCATTAAAGATTTGCAGCCAAATTTTGCACGAGTTGAAATGGGCTCAACTTTTGCAAACTCACAGCGCAAATAATTGATCTGATGTCACAAGTTCATGTGCGCTGTCGCGTGAAGTATAAACCAGCCTTCAGTTGAATAGTTGTTTAGTCTGCACACAGTCAGCATATATAGATACATGTCACCCAGTAACTCACGGCAAAACTAAGTACAATTAAAGCCACATGATGGCTGCTCTTTTTGGATAAATTGCTTGAATGAGCAAACAGTAAGATAACTTAAGAATCTAATAACTTACTGAAGTTTGGTTTGATGCTAGCAAACTTATTCAGCGTCATTCAATGGCTACATGGCATACGAAGGGTATCACGTTATCTCTGTCTCCTGTTAATCACAAACATGCGGAAAAGGCGGGCATGTTTTAAATGGCAAATTGCGAAAATCGACAAGAAATGTTTTGAAGTGAAAAATGACCAAGTGCGCTTAATACTCAGTGATTGTCACCTTACGGCACATCCTCTTGTGCTGTAGCATGTAGATAACAGCAAGGTTAAAGTCACTGTTTTTTTAGTGGGGGGGGTTCCCACATTTTCTGCAGTTGTAAAAGTGGCATTGTGCTCAAGTGAACTCATTGAGCCCTTGCCTGCTACTGTCATCACTGACATCAAAAGAGGGCGCTGTGCATGTTCACAAAGACATGTACAGCTATGTCAAAACGTGGGCTTGAGGCTGAAAAGTGCTTTAAATTATTTTTGGTGTAACAAAAAATTGTACAAAAAACAACAAAAATCAACTCATTTTTTAAAAAAAGATAGTCACAGAGGAACACTATTTTCTAGACAAAGGTTTAATCACATGTAGGCAAATTTTCAAGATACAGAATTTGTATAAATACCAGTTTCTCTTTTTCATGCATGAATGAAAGTAATATTGTATTGAATGTAGCTACTGTAGGCACATTCTTGCCAGCAGTAGCCACGTATCTCAAACACACAGCTCTTTAACTCTTCCTTCATGTTAAAAATATGCACTTGATTTTTCTTCTTTTTCCTCATGTTTAATCTGAAATGATTTTTCCCTCCTAAAAAAGACCATGACAGATCATGCAAGATGATACGAAAGTGAGCATTCTTTCCAGTGGAAAATAATCACGGAATTAGCATCATGAAAGGCAAATTATCTCACTTTTACCAAGCAGTTTGTAAATAAAATCTTCAGCTCTGTTCAAAACTTGCTGAGCACTCAACATAATAAATCCAAACCCTTCCATTTCTTGAACAAACCAACAGAAATACCGGGACTGATCAATGAAAAATATTTCATTTTGAAAGGCAGTTTTTCTCTAAAACAATGAACAATTTTTTAGACTCAGTCCCAGCTTAATGCAAGTAAAAGAAAATATGATAAATGACTTTATTTTTATCACATAACAATAATTTTGGAACGAAAGAAAATGTTAAGCAACCTGAACCGGTTTTACCATTCACATGGTTTGATTTCAGTTTTTTAGAATTCATAAACATTTGTATTGAAAGGAATAACTTGAGAGTACAGGGACAGTACTACAGAAAAGTTGTGAAGCACGTAAAGTTTGAAAATTAGTTACAAAAACATTTTCATCATAGCATTGTTACGAATTTAATATGCCTCTCGAATTGTTTGCTCTAAGGATTGTTAAATTAATTTATAACAGTGTTTTGCTATGTCATTATCTTCGAAGACTAAGTTTTAAATTATAACGAGTAATTGGGACTGTTTGAATGAATACCAACTAATTTGTGTCAACTTTGGTGAATTAAAATCCGAGCGGCGGCGGGCAAGGCCAAGTTGAAATTGTGTGTCCTATAGCAGTTGTTGGTGGATCTACTGTTGTTTTGATGCACTGGGTATGATGGATAGGGGTCAAAAGTTAACGTAGGCCCTGACCTCTAGTTGCATTTGCAATGAAAATCACTTGTCCAAAATGGAGTGGACCCTTGCTTCCAAATGTCAACAGCACTTTGTGATGTAACCGCAAGCGTCTGGCCCGTTTAGCACCTCTCAATGTTTCGGGGATGCAGACTGGCCCCCTGCCGTCCCCCTGAACAACAGCTTGCCGAGCGGTTTCCCCGAGTGTCGTCCCCCGTCGTACACCACCTGACCCCTGACCAGCGTCTTGTGGACTACACCCTTTAGGACTTTGCCCTCGTAAGGGGTCAGTTTGTTCCGATGTTGGATCTTGTCTCGAGTGACCTAGGAGAGAATGATATTCCCGTTATATCCACCCCTATTTATTACCCGTGTCCAGCAGAAGCGCCCCCCTCATTAGCTGAAAAGAGCCATGCTGGTGCAGGGTGTCCATTTTGTTGGTAGCAACATGACTGTCATGTGTGCACTGCACAGTCATTTGTAAACCAACAGAGTGCAGTTCCCACCACATAAGCCTTCATTGCTGGGAAAATTGCGCCCTGACTGGTCCCGCAGGGGGCCCATAACCCACAGTAATGTGAGCCAACACAAATATATTACGTTGCCCATGCACACGTTTTGTGATCACGAGAAAGGGGTCATTCCATAACTTTGGCTTCCAATGTTTTTTAATGTCAATGTTACAAGTTAAGATCACATTCTTTAACCCTAACGGTTCCAAATCCCCCAGTTTCAATATGATTTTACATACACCCAAGAGGTTAGGGTTAATTTCCAATAGTGATTAAGAATAGCCATATTTACCTGTCAAACACTAGTGTCAAATCAATGTCAGTCATGTATATATACGAGTACCAAGTCATATTACACAAGTGTAGAAGGGACAGAAAAAAGTCACATTTCAGACCCCAAATTTATAGAATCACCCAGATTTGAACTTTATGCACACTGTTTTCCTATTTTGAATCGTCCGTCCTTCACTGTTCACCTACGCTGCTGCCACACAGTGAACACTTCTTGTTTACTGGGGGAAAAACGTGGAAATCTAGCCAATTAAAACCTAAAGCAAATCAGCCAGGACAAAATGAATTCTGTTTGCCGGTATCGATATTTCCCATAATGCACTGGGAAAACAGCCCCCTTTGGAACCTTCACTGTGACACACTACCGGAAGAGTTTCTTGCGTTGTAACAAAGTGGACTGGACATAGGCATGACAATGGCATCGCCATGGTAACCATATTGCAGTGTAGAGATCATTACGAATCATTCCAATTGCAACAAACCGTCCTGCTCATGACACAGTCATGGCTTGATTCTTACCTGGAATTCTGCTTCTGGGTCCCATATCACTAGGTCTCCATCCATGCCCACCTTGAGTTGCCCCTTACTGTCTGCCAGGCCAGCCAACTGGGCAGTCCGTTCACACATCAGGCGGACTAGCTCATGAATATGCATGCCTCGATTCCGTGACCCAGTCCAGAACAGTGATAATCCTTGAGCAGAAATGACCCAAAAGTGCATCAATATAAGTGACGCAGCTTCTGCTTTTTAACTACACTTCTCAACTCCAAGCTTCTTATCCTGAACTCCCAAGAGCTCTTGCTTGGAACTTTCCTCAATCCTGCAAACCCATCAGAAAAAAAACGAGAGGAATATTCTTTGCTCTTCATTGTTTAAGAAACACTAAGCCCCATGTTGAATAACAGTGGCTGGGCTTTTCCTCAATCCTGCAAAATCCTCCACTTTGCAAGAATCCAATGACACATTCTTTGTATTTCAACTTCCAAGGGGCATCAGGGCTGCCATGTAAAGTACCAGTGGCTGAGCTCTACCTTCCTTAATCCCACAAAACCTTCTGAAACATTCTGGCCAATTTTGAAGGGTTCAGGAGGGTTTAGAACAAGATTAGAAATGCACATCTCACAGGCTGAATTTCTCACCAAACTGCAAAGATGAAATCCCTCCCCATGCCTTCATGAAGTCGCCTTCTTGAGTAAGTTTGAGGTCAGCCGTGCATGGGGAGTGATCCGACACGATCATATCAATGTCGCCAGAGGTGACAGCAGACCAAAGCCTAGCCTACAGAAATGTTTACAAGCAAGAACACCCAGTCAATATCCTTGGATCTGTGACTGGAAGGAGAGTCACTCACCAGCCAATCACAAGTCAATCATGAAACCAATCATAGGTCAAATTGCAAGCCAGATCACGAGGTCTTTGCAAATAACATTTAAATACTGCATTTTGAAAACATAATCGAATAAACATCTCAAAGTAATCTGAGCTCTGCGCATTTTGTTGTAATTCAGTTAACAAATGTACGAGTCGGGTTTTATACATTTTAGGAAGAGCTTTTCTTCAGAGCGTTTTATGCTGAAGCCATCTTTGCATGGTTCCCTGAAGACTTGGCATCGATCGCCGAACCACTGTGGCGCAAGCACGAGACAGCAACAAAATCTAAAAATGTTTGCTTCATTTTCTCACCTGGTTCTCGTGTTCCCTGATTGGTGGGCAGCATTTGAACTGCGTGGCTCCGCTGGGCACAGTTTCCGCATCCAGCGAGAGGTAGTGATGGCACGTTTCTACGGTGATGGGAGCGCCCTGTTTGCGGGCATCGAGAATGATGGGAAGGGCCTCCGCTGAGGAGAGGTGAACAATGTGACAGGGCACCCTGCAGTACAGAAATCGCGGTTGGATTTCTTCAAATCATCTGAATTTTTATTAATTTCCTACACAGGAAAACAACATATAGGCTGGCTATCTTGCGTATTACCACATTCCTCACTTCAAGATGAATAAATCATAATTACCTGTACTGCAAGCACAACTTGGCGACCAATCGAATGGCTTCATTCTCCATGGCTTTTGGCCTGGACTTCAGAAATGTCTCATAGGCAGTTGGAGCAGTCAGATTGTCATCTGGTTGGAGGTCTGTCTCCACTTCAGCATGGAACTTTTCCAAGAAAATAAAAGAAAAGTGTGACGTACAGTGGTTTGTCTTGGTGCTGATTTTCTTCCCTTTTTCCCCCTATGAATATCCAGAAAAGTGAAGAGCATTCTTTTATCAGACTGTGTGAAGCAGTCACTCTCTGGTTGGGTGGGGTTCTGTGTTTGGTCAGCTGTACAGGCCTGTCATATGGTGTTTACCTCTGCATAAAAGAAGTCCACATAATGCAGGGTACATTGGCATTGTGTGGACTTACACACGTCCACACAATGTTTTCCCTTCTCTGAAAAACATTTTCGGAGGCATTTTGGGGTCAAGGTTATTGTGGCAAAATGAAGAGGAACAGTCCAGGAAATCATCATCAAAAATCCAGCTTGAAGGAGTTACAAACAAAAGAGGAACAATAGGGGGTCCCCAGTTGCAGGCAAATACACACTTATGTGTGTGTGTGTAGAAGCGTTTTGTCAATGTTGAATTTAAAACTTATTGCTTTGAGCTTTTGAACAAACTACATTTCGTATCATAAAGTAAGCTTGAAAGCTTCAAGATTGATTTCTTATCAATGAATACAATTTTCGGTATCAAGAGGTCGCAAATAACCCGTTTGGAATTTACCACATTTGTTACAAAGTGTGCCTGGCCCTTCATATTTCCAGCATGAAATGTGGCAAAGGTGGACCCCCTTTGTGATATGATGCACAAGCTATACACCCTAAGGCTATTGTGCCTATTGCACCCCCCCCCGGAAATCTGAGGGGAATTCCAAAGATTCCGTCAACACAAAAGAAGACTCAATAGAGGGGGGCCCCCTTGCCACATATCATGCATCAAATGGCCCTTCGGGGCATGAGATGCCCAATTTGTCTCATCTCTTACCAGCAGCACACTGTCGGTGCCCTGCAGTTCCTTCATGGCTTTGTGCAGGTCATCCTCGGTAACATGGGGGAACTCGTCCACTCCGCTGTGGATCAGAAAACACTTGAACCCAGCGATGCCCTCACGAATCATAGGCTTCAACTCTAGCTGTCATTATATGTGACACGGGGATAAAGGATGATTTGGGTCAATCATCCTTCAACCACAAGCAAAGTTACAGATGGAAGGGGGGGCTGGTATTTTGGAGCCTTAATTGATCCTTAAATTAAAATCCACCATTGTGCATGGTACATTCTCTGAACTTCAACTTTCAAGGTTCATCAAACCCCATACAAAGTAACAGCAGACATCTTCCCAAACCTCTTCATGGATTTTGAAGGGCGCGGGAAGTTTAAGGAGATGGAATTTCATTCAGCCACTGAGTGGTGTTAATTTCATATAATTTACTGCTTAATTTTCAAAGGCCAGCATATTTTCATGTGTTATGTTCTCCCCTATCTAAGAAATGAGTTTGTCCCAGGAGTGTGGAGTGGTGTAGACTAATAGCCAGCATGCAAATTAGGTTATGCTTGAGAGATCCTGTTCAGTCTCAGATGCCCAATGTACTAGCCTTCACGGCTTGCAGTCACCTGTGTAGGACCTGCTGGGCGTCACCTATGATGCAATACCTGTTTGAGCGTGAAACTGTAAGCTTTATTTCACTTTGATTTACAGACTTAGAAGTCAGTGTCAGGGTTGCAGCAATGAAAGAATCTTTTGGATGTTTTTGGTAGGAAATTTGCATTCCCACAACTATAAAAATGGAAATCAATTGCAAGGATTGAGCTGAGGCCTGCTTTAATTCTGTAAACAAGTTTATTTTCAAGGAAGTTGAATGGGACATCCTTGCATAGTGCTACCGCAAACCTCTATAACTTTAACTTACTACCGTCGCCACGAAAAGTTTCACAGCTCAAGTTTATTTTTCGTTAAATATACCTGATAAAATAAGTTGGCTCTATCAGGAGATGAATATTTTGAAGGTAATTTTCATTCCCTAGAAATGAATTTTAGGGTTAATCTATTCAGGCATGTAATTTGAACTGTGATAAAACAGCAAGGATATTCCAATCTTTACAAGACTTCTTTCAGCATGTTTCAACTTTCAATGGTCTGATCCAAGGAAAAGTTGCATGCCTGTCTGCTGAGAGCACGAAGTGAATTTAAAATTCATCAGAAACTGGAAATGATAAATTCTCAACAGTTTAGTCTCACATTGAAATTAGATATTGTCCTGGAGTGCTTTCCCAAGGGGGAACGACCTGAAGTCAGAGCCCAAGGTCCTCAGCGGACAACAAGCACTTATACCGCCCTGTGTGGATAGCACCCATGACTGAGGAATAGATTCCTGTGTGGAACATGTCAGGTTCGACTGAAGGACGCCTGTGCGGACGGTCGGCCGACTGTCCAGAAACCAAACTCACCTGGGCTGGTAGCATCAAGACCAAACCAATCACTGGGTTACATTAATGATAGACCTGTAACGCTCATTTAGCTAAGTTAACCCTCCTTTGGTTTTATAGCACAAATATGCACAAGTGCCCAAGGTCACTCTCTTGCATGTTGGTGCAGTGCACAACACAACACAACTGTGCTTCTTTGAGATGTTTACCAAGTGACCCAAAGAGTGACTTCAGCATAGGAGGGTTCAAGATGGAGGTGGGATTACTGAAACCCAAGAGCAAACATTAGACGAACCGTTTCTAAACCAGTTCTAAACCATGTATCGCAGTGCATTCACACTGATTTCTTTCTGGGTGAGGTAAATCTTATGTGCTTGTCGGGCTAGCTCTAAAAAGTCTTTATTTTTGGGGGGGGTGATATTTTTTGCAACTTTTTTTTGCATGATTAAAGAGTACCATAGGCCTAAGTAATAATTCGGTGGACGAAATTTGGTGACCCTTAGCAATTTCATTTTGTCTTTTTATTTCATCCATCTTCACTGTCACACTCCTTGGGATTTTGTTGGAAAAAAAATAAATACTTGATGCGACACATTTGGAGATCTAAATCTGTCGCAAGCTAGGGAGGACGGATCGAACCTCATTTCCCGGTATGACTCCACCCCAGAACGCAACATCGACATGTGCCATCTCGGCTGCGTAGATTAACTTTGTCCTGAAGGCATCTAAGCTCACTGTGGAAGGAATGCAATTTCTGAAAAAGGGGGAAACAAACAAATTCATCTCAGTCATGTTACTGTTGTGAGTTTCATGATCGTTCAAAACACTAACTTAAGCTAGAGGCTTTGCCAAAACTCAAAATACAAAGGGGACCGCCATATTGAGCGAATGATGCATTGGTAGTCTAGATTCAAGTATTGATCACATTCAGTGGTAGTGTACATCTACATCTATATCTGGATTCCTTGGCAAAACGGTTGATTCACATCCCAGTAGAGTAGATATACCTTGGACCTTGAAATACCTGGAATCTTGAGATACACATGTACTATGTTTGACCCAATGCACAAATGAGGGAAAGTAGAAGTTAGTTTTAATAAATGGCAAGTTCCAAGCAGACGTTAATTGTTGCTTACAAGGGCATGTCTACGATGGTTGTTATCCCACCAGCTGCTGCCGCCTTGGTGGCTGTCTCGTACCCCTCCCACTCTGTGCGTCCTGGCTCGTTGACATGAACATGACTGTCCACAATCCCGGGCATGACAAGGTACTGTCCAGCATCAATATCCTGCGAGATAAAATCCTCACAGCATGAGTTCTGCTGACTAAATCTGTCGAGCCTAGAATGGAAGTTGTCCAAATTTACACAGAGATATGCCGTGCTGTATTTAAGCATGTAACTCCAGTTTTCATTTGAATGCGCACAAATCCACATATTGTCACGTAGGCACCAGGTTGCAACGATGCATGGTGACTACCAGTGTCTATTACAGTCCCCTCATCTCTTTCTTTGTCACAGTTGTTAACACAACTTCGCAAGACCTCAGTGGCTGTGGGTGCAAGTGTGGGGCAAGGCAGAATCGCGTGGGTGTAAATTTGCACCCACACCATGTAGCAAGGTGGTGACAAGACTCTCTGGTGACAAGACCATCTTTCAAAATTAACACGAAAAAATGAGCAGTTTTCCCATTTATGGTCAAAGAATGTACAAAAGAAAAAAACAGGGAATCCAGCGAGACCCATTTTAGCCGATTTCAGAAACGGTCATTGTTAAGATACGCTGGTGATCCTGAAGCCTCAGAGGGGAGCTACATGTACGGCTGTAAACACTGCATGTGTAGGATGCACCTTTACATGCGAGTCTCGAAGTACAGGCCTGCTCAAAACGCATTGTTCTTGCATGGTTCTTGTCCACTACGTTGATCGTACCATCCATCAAGATTAAGTGTATGATTTGTTGTGTTTTTGTCACAAAATAAAACATACCCCGGTCTTGTGCAGTTTGTAGTTATGGACATTACAGTCGACATAAAGGCAAGAGCTAAATTAATGTGTGAAGTTTACAAGCTGTTAACCAACATCGGTAATGTTGCATAAGCCATAACAGCATAATTTGACCTATGTAGTAATACTGGTCGCTAGCAGGGGGCGGGGCATGTGTAGGTTTACCTTTGCTTCATCCCATGGACCACTGTATTTATCTCCTTCCACAATCCTGAAAATCTTCCCATTAACTATCTCCACAACAGCTGGTCCTATGGTGCCGTTGTCCCTAAGCAACACACGTCGGCTCTTGACTCGAATGGAAGACATCTTGAATTGCTTATGAATTCTGATACAAAAACCATGAAATAACAAAATGAAAACAGTGTCTGGGTAACCAAAAGTGACTTTTGTAGGCCTCCCCAAGAATTATGGGGTTCGATATCTGCTGCTCTCGGCGGCAAACCCCAGTGCCCAGTCACCAAGGCTGAGGCTAAGTATGCTAAGTAGGCTATTGACAATAACTGTTGCAGGTCTAGCTACACAAATTTGCAAACAACTGTGGCACTAGCAGGTAATAGGAAAAAAAAACCTGAAAGTCCTGACTGCTGAAGATTAGCAGTGTTTATGGTGGCCTTGATTAATCCACCGTTTATAATCTACATGGTCAATGGTTTACGCAACGCAAGGGATCACGTTCCATTCAAACGTGCACAACAAACAAGCCATGGACCATGGAGTAGACTCCTGGTTACTTCTTGTCAGTGTTCTAGCCACACTGGGCGGCCCCGGGGAGGCACCGGTACTGCAAATTTCTGCCGCCCAGCACGGATTTTCCAAATAATGAACTGAAAAATATTACTGAAAATTTAAATCTACCAATTCGATGGTATTTCAAGCATTAGACATGTTAGAAAGCGTTGCGAACTATGCTCACTACCTGACTACCAGTACTGCTTCTGGACTACAGCCTATATGGACTAAAAACGACGCAACTGCAATATTTGAAAAGAACAGATAGGCCTATCTTTGCCAAAGCAAAGAGCAAAACGTGAGGGTATTTCTAGAGCAAATCTATACAAATACAGTCAATGTAACTTATATTACTGTACTTATTTGCGGCCTAATTCCTAGGACAAGACTGCAGCGCAATTTCGCTGCAGTGCAGTATACAGTCTTGTCCTAGGCCGTTTTCCAATACTCAATTTCAGCGGCATCTCAGGTTCACCTGTTTTTTACAACCTGACTTTGAAGCTGTAAGCGCATTAATTAGTCTAATAGTGCCACAAAACATCTAATAAGATGCAGAAGAGCACAAATTTAAAGTAATCCAATTTTATTTCAACGCTTCAGACCCACAATTCGGGATTGGTTTCGGGGACGAAGCCTCAGACGGAGACGTATTTGAGTATTGGAAAACGGCCATAGGTCACATGACCTATGGCCGTTTCACAATACTCAACTTCGTCTAGGGGTGCAGTGTTCCAATTCAAGGAAAATTCTTTGCCAGGCGGAGGCGCACAAAAAGTACCCCCCAGAAATTGTTTCAAAAAGAGGGGTCTGTTTCGGTCAAGGAATGGTGGGATTGTGCCAGTATAGCCTAGGATTATCTCTGTTGATTCAGGAGCACCCATCTGGGGATGAAGCAGACAAAAATGGCATTGAAAATTAGTCAGAAGAGCCCCAAGAAGGTACGGTGAGAGATGTCATTTGAAAAATGGCGACTGGGAGTGCTTGGCAACATTCACTTTTTGGGGGGTGAGTTTGTTTTGGGCGGATAATTAAAAAATTCATTGGTTAACCTGCTAAAAATTGAAATTCAAATGAAATCTGGAGGACCACA